TTCTTTTTTTTGAGCCCAGAGCGATTCTCGCACCCAAACCCTTGGTCATTTCGACAGGCCATTGCCATGCAGGAAATGCGTGTTTAGCAAATGTTTTTAAATTGTATAACGAGAATTTATGACGGACGCTTCATGGATGCGGACCCTCGCAAGGTACCAAATATCTACATGACCAGCAGAAACAGCAAAAATTGCATGTTTCGAATTCGTTTAGCACCATTTTATTTTTTTTCTTGTTGCTGTGTTGGATGATGAAAATGAGGCCTATTTGAATATGTTTCAGCATATATAGGATTGTTAAGGGAAAATTCGTTAATTGGTGAGGTTTACTCGGTTTTTACCGCAGAATTTCATAAACTGAAACTAAAAAAATAAACTAAAAAAATAAACTAAAAAATAATTTAAAATAAAAATTCATATTACTTCACAGTATTATTTAGAATGTCTGTTCAGAAAAATCAAAAAACAATTTAATTGACTTTTTCAGCCCTAACAAGTATGCTACAAATTCCGCATGTTAAATTTACTCACCATTTTTGGTATTAACCGAGGCAACAACCGCATCCTTTTACAATACCCCTAACCAGCTAAATGATATCACTCCCGTGCCATCAATCCCCATCTTTTCCCACGATTGCCATTTATTTGTGGCTCGTGGCTCTTGGGCCCGTTTGGTTTGTGCAGCATTTCAATGAGCAAATGCAAATAAATTATAAACAAAAAGGGAGACAGAATTCAAATAAAAATATTGATGGTGCTGCTGGCTGTCGGAGGACGTGACGAAATGTGTTTTTGTGTTTGTTGTTTCTATTTGTCGAGCACTTAAAAGAAATAACCGCCACGTTCTATAAATTAGATGGCGTTTCTCGCTTTCAGGTTTTTGGGTTGCCTGGCTAACGAGGCGTATGCGCCATGTCCTGACAAGTGAAAAATGTCCCACACACGCATATCCTTGCCACTTCTTAGCCCAACATGTGTGCTACTGTGTGTTAGCGTGTATATGTGTGAGTGAGGGGCGTGGCAAAGGAGCTTCGCAAGTGCGAGTGAGTGGTTGCGGTCGGCTGGAGCTGCTTCTTAATCCTGGCAGCGCCAACCGCTTAATTATTCATTGAAGCCAATGCATTGGAATGCCGAAAGCCGCAGGCTTATAAATAGCATGCGAACAGCGGAACCTCACAATTCTGTGGCCACCTCACTCAACATTAATCAGTTTACGGTCGCAGCCAAATTGATTCAAATAAATATTCCAGCACGTTCTCTTGGGTTTTTTCCTCTCTCAATTCACGCGGGTCTAGTGTCATAACTTAAGTCAACAAAATCGTTTTCACCCCATAAAATTAGAAATAAAAATAATTTCTCATGATAGATTTGTTTTAGGTACTCTCAGAAATAAAGTCGTTCCTTCTTACAAACAACTTAACAAAGAAATTCGAAAACATTTTCTTAAAAAATATTTTTGAAGTTTTCTATTTTCTTAGTATTTCCGAAGCGATTCTGAAATTCGAAGCCTGTTTGGCAAACATTTCAAACACATCAAACACACATGCATGCATGCAATTGTGGGTGCCTTCTGTGCGTGCTTTCTCGTCCTTTTGCCACATTTCCTTTTTTCCAGTTTTTATTTTTCTGTCTACTTTTTTTTTCGTTCAGCATTTAGCAGCATGGGGCGTGCTTTTGGCTGCGTTTTGTGCACCAAATGACCGAGTTCTTTGTTATAGTTACTACTTCTGATTTTGCTGCCTTTGCTGGTGGTTGTAAATGCATTGTATTCATGTGTGACTGTGTTTTTGCGGCCGCATTTATGAGTTTGCATGTCGTGTTCGCAACACCCCCACTGCCTTATCAACACACACAGCACAGCTGCCAACACTTTCAATTGTTTTCAACACTAAAAATCCTCGACAATGAGCCTGAAGTCGTTGTTGCTGTATGTGAAAACGAGGGTTTTCTCTTGCTTAAATTGTGTTTTTCCTGCGGCAAATAGTTCGCGGAAAGTGAAATTTTTTCCTCACAGGCTTGAGTTTTTCTTCATTCGGCCGGTTCTTAATTACTCTGGCCATAAAGTGAAGTATAAATTATGAAATGCGCTTAATTGCACATAGCTGGTGAATGAAAGTGTGCATTTTTTAGGTTGTAATGAAAATATGTAAGCAATTTTGTTGTATATAATTATTGTGTGATATTCATTCAAAGGGTAAAAAATAAATAAAAAATAACAGAATATTTAGTGTGTGAAATAAATAACTGTAATTATTCTTTTGTAGTTTAAATGTTTTAACCAAATTTCTGTCTAACAAAGTATAAAAAATAGTTTTTAGGTTATTTTTTTATTTTTTTCAGCCCAACATTTAGGTTACCGCCATCAAGGCCAAAAGGCTTCATTTGCATTCGACATAAAAGACAATTAGAGATTGAAAGATCCAAGAAAAGATTCATTCCGTAATCAAATGAAACAATTATTTTCCAGTCTACCTCGCACTTGCACCATAAACATAAAGAAAAGCCATTTGTATGCAAACTAGATACTGCCTCCGACTAAAACTGGGAGACTCAACTATTTGGCACTGACTCGCATTTACATGCTAAATAGCCTTTGCCTCGTCCTTGGCAAAAGGACTCTCAATCTCCTAACCCTCCCCTACCCATATGCCATTCCCCGATTTTGAATCGGACTACGACTGAGACTCGTCGCCGTGTAATTGAAACGTTAAATAATAAAGCCGCCTGTGGAGTGTAAGAGATTCAATCAGTCCATGACGAAGACAATTAGAGACTGGATTTGCTTCTCAAAGGAGCGAACTTAACAGGATCTAAAGGATGAGGAAATATACAGGAGCAGACCGCAGTGGATAGGTCTTTCTCACCTACACTGAATTTTAAGTAATCAAATTTATGCAATTTGCAGAGACACGCAAAAACAATAAAAGAGGAAACATGATAGAATAAAACAAATAAAAGTGTTTACAGATATATAAAGACTAATAGACACTCATTAAAAAGTTGTAGAAGCTCTGTAATATATTATATAATAACTATTTTCAAAAAATTGTTTAGATTATTTTGTAGAAATCCCAGAAAAAGGTAAGCAGAACCCAAGAGCTTTTAAAGAAAGAAGTTCCTTCTGAAGGTACATAAAATTAGTTAATACAACAAAATGTTCTATAAAGTTGTGGGTATGTCTAGAAACTCCAGTTTCTCCCTATGCCTTATATGCTTGCTTTTCGAAGAAGTCCAGAGTATAAAAACAACTTGAAACAAAGCAAGTTGCAGAAAAAGTTGACGCAATCAGTAACAGTATTTCTATCTGTTCTTATCTCTGAATGTCTCTATGCTACCATCACTTTTTTCCATCCATTCGAGGGAAAAGGAAGCAAAATTAGTTGGCTGCAACCTGCAAAAGAAAAGTTTTACGCTTAAGTAAAAGTGCAAATGCTTGCCATTCTTTTTGCTGCCCATCTGCCGTCCCTTTCGCCTAGGGTCTCCCCATCTCTTTCACCATTCATTGGCCATATCTGTATGTTCCTCTCTCTTGGCTTTGCCTTTGGTGTTTCCGACGCCTTTCTTCGCGCAAATTGCGCACAAATTAGTTCAAGTTGAGGCGCATTTCAGCGTTATGACTGTCAATGAGCCGATGCCAGCAGGTGCACTGATAAAAATTTGTATCCAAATGTTAAATTATATCTTAGAAAATGTAAAAGTATGAGTCAGGATATGATTTGACTGTAAAAGCCTTGAATATCTTAATATGGGAAATATAATACTTGACTTAAGATTAAGATATGAATTTTTTCTCCGTGTAAAAAAGAAAAGGGGCGACTCAAATCCAAGTATAGAGGGAGAACTTCTAGCTGTTGGCTCAACTTCAATTGCCGGCGGGGCATGTGCAGCACAAAAAAAACTTAGAGCCCCTTGAGCTAGGGTTACGATGGTCTAGAAACGATGTGAACGGGGAGGAATTTGGGTAGACTATTCGGGATAGGGGTTTTGGGACACAAGGGCTGGGAAGAAGAACTCACTCCTCATCCGATTTGCTTGCTGGCATTGTGCCCCAGTCAGCAGTTTTTGTTTGGGCTAATGATGCGGAGGATGATGTCGATGTTATTGGTATTTTCTATTGATGCCTCACTGGGCAAGGATCTGTGTTCCTACTTTCTACTGCTCCAACTTCTTCTTATGCTGCTCCTTGTTCTTCCACTTGTTTCCATTGTTTTCGTTGTTTACCAATGTTGTGTGCGTATCAAAGAAAATGCTGTTGATGCAGGCTCTGCGAGGACTTAACTAGGCATTTGACGAACAACATCTCCTGATTTATTAAGAGTAGCAAGTGATGGGGCAGTTGGATGGTTGAAGTTTTACAAATTTGTAAAACTTCTGATACGGGGTGATCATCATCATCATCATTTTATACTTTTCTGAGAATTTGGTTTTTAATATTATTATTGAATTAAAATGGGAAATGTGAATTAATTTGCATTCTGTTTTAGAATATTAAAAAACATATAAGCATTAATAATACATTTTTATTTATTTATAATTTAAAGGTAATATTAAGATAGCTTGAGTCCCAACTTTCCTCCAATTTCAATTCTGTTAGAATGCTGTTAAGTCTGCGAGCACAAGAAATTTTCCCACTATTATTTATTTCCATACTATAACATCTTGTTAACTTGGCTAGCATGACTGTTAAGCTGCATCTCAAGGAATGTGGAATTGAAACAAACAAATTACGAACAAAAAACCGAGCTCTCTCCTCTGCTTTCTCTCTGGAGAGCTGACTTTCGCTCTCTCTCTCTCTCTCTCGTGATTTCGCAACCTTAGACAATGCGAACCAGTTTGTGCGTTTTGGTCGTTTTTTATCCTGATATCCGGTCGTCGGATTCGTGTTCGTGAATTGGCTCGTGTGTGTGTTTTGGGTGTGCGGGGGTGTGCGTGTTGGGCGCCAAGTAAAAACCAGGTAATAAGGAGAGCAAAGCTTTTAGTCTTGGTCGGTTATTGGTGCTGTGTGGTTGGCGAAGGCGACACAAGTCCGGCTAGTGCGGCAAAATTCTCGATTCTCTGTTTCTCCGTTCTCCACTCCAATTTGCTCCAGTCCCCGAGTCTGAATATCGCGATAAAACCGAGGACATTCGTGCGTACGCTCGACTGTGTTAGTGTATTATTTGCGAGAGTGTGTTTCGGTGTGTCTATGTCCTTAGCAGCTGCAGTGAAAAGGCAAATTATGAATAAAATGTAACCGAGAAGTAAAGAGAAACAAACAAACAAACAAAACACAACGCACTGCACTTGTGCAAAAAAGAAAACTAATCTCTCCCCAGTTGGAATCTCCGAATCCATTCTCATCAGCGAATTAGGGGTTTTCCCTTTTCTCTCGACTTAGTTTGACAAATTAAAATGCATAAATTATGAATGAAAGTACCGTTACGTGCGTGACAACCAATCATTTGTTATTATTATGCACGTGGGCTAGCAAAAAAACCAAAAAAACAGTGTGAGAGCAAAAGCTAAACTTGGCTAAAAACGTCGCCACCACCCAGAAAAAGGAAAGCCCGCCCCCTGAAATTCCAGCCGGTGACTGGGGAAACCTTCTTTAAAGTTCTCTGCGAAATAAAATAGAGCACAACAAAAATAAAAAGGAAGAAAAGGCATCGTCAGCAACAGAAATAGCAGCAATAAGTGAGTATTATGCGACATAGAATTTTCCTCATATTTCTCTAGGGATTTTCCAAGGCATAAAGAGAGCAAGCATACTCGTACATACCAACACACACACAAATTGTAACTTAAAGTTTTATTAACTTGGCGCGGACCTTGGGGCCAGTTCAATTTGTGCACACGCCTCAGGTGTCAACATAAATTATTATAATTATGAAATTCTATAGCCGGATACGGACCAACAGCAATATACTACGAGTACAGGACAGCCAAGGACATAATAATATCGACTAATCAGAAGTTATTGTTAGATTGTAAATCACTAGATAAATAACAAGGTTTTGGTGGCAATATATTCTAAAATAATGGTTTTATTATATTAAAAAATATCTGATGGTATCTTAAAAATATTTATATAATATCTTTATAGCATTATACGAGTATAAGCTAATAATTTATATCACATTAAGTAATTGTAGATACTTATAAGTCGTTTTAGGCTTAAGAATAAATCTAAATTATAGAACAAATTTTTTATAGAGAAGATTACTTAAGCTATTCTTGGTTTTTTGATTAAGTAACTTCCAAGAAAATCCTTTATAGACCCTATAATTGCGATCGCAGCCGTTCCCTCAATATATATATATGAAATTCCCGTACAATGCCAATTAATTTGAGTCGCTGAGCTGGGGCATTCTCTGTCCTGTCTTTGAGTTATGGCCTTTCATTAGTCTCATTTAGTTCAGAGGGATGTTGGAGGGGAATTCGCGGTGAGAGCGAAGTGAAGTCCTGCCAAGGCATCGTTAAATTCCGAAACTGTCGTGGAGGTCAGTTCCATGGCTTGCTGACCTTTATGGCCTTATCAATTGACACTTAAAACTCAAACATCAAGATAAATAAAAAGATTCCCGCTACGGTTATTGAGAAAAACATATTTTAGAGTTTCCGGGTGGCAATTTTGAAATTTATTTTATTGGCTCAGGTTTTATTGGTTGTTTGGCTATGGGAAGTACTTTTTTATATCTCACAAAAGGCAGCAACGGCTGCTTACCAACTCTTGTTAAAAAATATTTCATTGATTGAGTACATTCATATTTGTTTGCCAATGATATTTCTATGATTTTTGCAGACTAAAATATTTGTGTTTGATAAATTGTAAAAGATTTTTTGATTATTGTAAAAACAGGGCAGTTTACCTTGTTTGTTTTGGTGCATGGTTTTATGAATATTCAGATAACCAGCTTGAAGATTCTGAGTAATAACTATGTAAAAATATATATAATAAAGAAAGGCTTTATATAGTGTAGACTACCATTCGCCAATTTAAAAATGTAAGTTAATATTCAATATAATCCTGAAGTCACTCTCTCCATCTATTGCTCAAGCGCTGTGCCAGTTAAGCTTAAATTTTAAAGCCAAATTCTGCCCCGAGGCAGTAACATCAAGGGCCGTTCAAGGCCCCAGAATACGCACACACAAGCACAGCACCCACAACGGCCAACATACACACACACACACACACACACAATTTCTCACAGAGGGCAATGCCAGTCATTCAGTCAGTCAGTCACTGAGGCATTTCTCGTATGGCCATTCAGTCAATTCTTCATTCGGCATTCAGAGAGCTCTCATGCAAGGCGCTTGAGCCCCAATATCCCCCTTTTTCTTCAGCGCCACCAAAAAGTGTGTGTTTGTGTGAGCGTGTTTTTGTGTGTTGCAACAAGCCATTGGACATGGCCTTATAGGCAAAGCTCTTTAAAGCGTTTGACAAAAAAACAGTTTTAAAACGACCAAACGAACGAAAACTCAATTTGAAAGGAAAAATCTGGGAGAAAAGATTTCAGGATGTGAGTGACCTGCGGTGTCTAAGACCGCTTAGACCTTGTATTCTGAATATTTGCATATTTAACAAGCCAGTGCCATGCCTGCCACATAATTAATTATGCAAAAGACTCGGCTCGGGAGCCAACATCAAGTATACGCAGCGTGTGTGTGCTCAGGGTCCGACTCGACTATTTTGCATAAGCCACTCACCGTTCGACATGTGACTCGACTTGTAGTTTGTGTGTGTGTGCTTGGCTCTTAAAATAGATGACAACAAGGTGCTAAAATTATTCATGGCCTCTAATTACAAAACATGATTTTGGAAAACTTTCTGCCCAAAAGGCTTTCACAGATTTTTCCCCCAAGTGCCTTGGCTACGGCTGCTATCCGGGAGTTTTTGGTTTTAATTGATTTTATGCAAATTTAATTCTGCTTGCCCGAGAACAATTACACAATCGCAGGACATACAATGTTATTGTTAATTTATGCCTTTGCTCAATGATTTTTGAATCTCAGCAGTGGCTGTAGGATCTTCCTTCGGGCTTTCGGTTCAGAGAGCATTTAATTCAAATTAACAGTTATTGGCCATAAATGGTATGATTAATTCATTTGATTTCTCGTTCCTAGAAGCTGATAATTTCTAAGGACTGTCTATGCTGGCTTCAGGACATCTGCAACTTTTGGCTGAGTTTGCTTAATGCTTATTTCAAATATTCAATGTAAAATTCATGGCAGTAAGGAATGCTAAATTAGTTCTGTAAATTATAGGTTAATTGAAGGAAATTAAAGTGGAAAAGTAACAAAGCATTACAATTATGAATGTCTTTAAAACCTTTTTCGAAAATATATATTTAAACATCATCTTGAAGAGTTTTATCATGGTCCATTCTATAACATTCATAAAAATTGAATACAAAACGAAGATCAAGAAAAGTCAAGGGTCATTGAAGGTCCACAAAATTCTTGATACTAAAATAGCATAAGGCCGCCATGAATAAGAACTAGCAGTCAGGAAAGCTGAAATAGATACCGGAAACCGTAATTGGAAACCAAAAATAAAACAAAAGACAATGACAAATGACTTTTTCGGTTACAGATATAATACGCAAATCAAACACTAAGGCGGTTGATGAAGTAATAATAGAAAAAATTAATTGGATGACAAAACTAAGCTTCAACTGAGATATATATTAAATATTTTATTATTTTCTTCTATTTTCAGACTGTCTACCGGAACTTTTGCTGATGATTCAATTTAATTCAGTGCGTTAAGAGACACATAACAAAAAATAAGGAACGAAACAGGAAACTAAACCGAAACTGGGGAGGCAAATACAAATAGTGCCAGGATATAACATGTAAATGTCATTGATGTGTCTGTGTGGGTGAACGCTTAATAGGAAAAGCAAATAGCAACGAGCTCATGGAAAATAAATATAAATAAGCCAACGACAACGACAGGCAAAATAACAAGAAAAGCAATTGGTTGACGCTTTCCCTCGTTGGCGGTCAAGGAAAATTTATTGCATTGCACAAATGAGCCAAGAAGAAAACGCAAACGCAAACGAAGCGAAGGCAAACATAAAAAAGCGCGAGCATGGACAAGAAAAATAACCAAAAATTCCGCAACAAATTGAAAAATTAAAGTTTCAGCAAAAGGAAAACTAACAGGAAAAAGCATAGCAAATAAGAGGACACGGCAGCATGGATCCTAAAATATACAGTCGATATTTCTTCGCCTATGGCATCCTCGTTCTCCTCCTGTTCCAACTATGCCACGGTAAGATACAAAGTTCTCATTAACCCCAAAATAAAAACTTTTCCCGTCCCGAAGTATCATTCAAATGCCTGTGTTTTCCCTTCAGGGTAACTCATTTGAAATTCATTCAATAATCGATACTGGAAAGCCTGTTAAGTTGAGAAAGTCAGGCGCAAAGTCAAGGCTGTCAGGTCGGCGGGATAAATCCTTTCTGGAAATCCTTCCTGCCCTCAAGACCTCCCCAAGGCATTAATAAACAACAAGTTTGCCATTGCCAACACTGCCTGTTATTTATTTTTAATTAAGTTCAACAAACTGCTGAGCAAAAACTAAACAAAATTAACTGGCAAACAAGCGAAAGTCGCGGTTAACCATGAGAAGGGCGAATTAGGAGGAGATGATGGTTTTTCATACCCTTTTGAAATGGGAAATAAAGTTTCTAGAGGTTTTAAATATTATATTATTAAATTTAAATGTAAATACTGATATTTATTCTAATTCAGTTGTGATAACTCCGATTTATTGTATGATTTCTTCACTTATTTAAAGTGTATTTAGAAACAAACATAAGTTATTTATTCCAGTGTTTTTAAAACTAATTATTAAATACAAAACCACGAAAAAAACTAACCACAGCTAATCTCTTCTGTTGAAGCAGAAAACTATTCATAGTTTTTGCATCAGAACTCAATGCCACTTTGGATGACTGTCACATTTCACAGCTAATGAAACTTACAGTGGACTGAACCGTAAATTCAATTTAATTATTTGCACATCTTTCATTAGCGCCAGCCGCAATTAATATATTTTATTAATATTAATTCTGAATGTGTGTGTGTGAAAACCTTCAACTTAATTAGCTTGATTGCCGAGAGGCAATACAGCAACAATAACAACCAAAAAAAAAAAATAGAAAACTTTCCTGCTGCCGCATTTAATTAAATAAATAAACATGCTCAAGTTTTTTGCCATTTCCGTTTCCGCTTCCTTTTGCCGCAGAGTTGTCAAAGCAAAAAAGTTTCTGTGGCAGATCTGTGTTTACTATTTAACTTAGCTTCCCTTCCACGCTCAATTGCGACAGCGGACCGAAATAATAATGACTGACAAATACAATTTCTGTCTAGACAAACGGGGGAACTGAAATGATTATTATTTGCTGGCACTTAGCCGGCTTGGGTTTGAGGGAACGCGTTGCCTGAATTATAGATAGAAATCTTATTTTCCTATTATGAGGTCACGTACGCATACCGCACAGTGGGGAAACAACCAAAACAAAAAGAAAAATTGAGGGAAAAATACTTACGGAGCGAGCAACAAATAATGAAATTAAGTTAACGTGGCGCACACTTCTGGCCAAATTGTAACTAACAAAGAGCAAGCACCGATGTCCGAGGGAAGTACACACATTTATTGGCAGCACATGAAACTAATGTTGAACGACACGCACTCTCTACGAATTTCTCGATATCCCCCTTTCTATTCAGTTAATGAAAGTTCCTCAAGACGTCGGCCACTTGAGGCTCCTTCGAGTGGAGTTTATTAAAGATTTCACTCAGTTTACTCAGGCATCATAAATACCTATAAGTATTATTAAGTGCCTTTCTAGCGATTACGTTGGGTTAAAGTGTTCTTGACGGCCCATTGAAAGGTCCTAAGTTGGGAGGTGCCAACAGATTGTCGGCTTATGTGATGGCTTATTGGCCAACATCATGAATAGTAAAAAGGGGGAATGCTATTTACCTATGAATTTATTAGTTAAATTTACTGGAGAGTTTTTATATGTCACAATTCTGTGATAATTTATAACGATATTTTTTTGTTTATTTGAGGATTAAAAATAGTATAGGATATAGGCATAAATTAAATAAAAAGCCAGTTTTGATTTTATTTCCCCCTTTTCTTTCTGATAATTGGCTAACCATTCGCAATGTTGTATCTTTAAAATCTAATTTAATTAATCAATTTCGCTGTTGAAAGGGAACAGTAATCCTGGAATCCTGCAGTTACGTCTTTGAAGTGAATTTTAATTGTATTATTACAGCTGTGACTGTGTGGAGCAATTTAATTGATTTTCTAATTAAAGAAAATAATGTGCATTATGTATGTCGCTTTGACGGACAAACTAAGAAGTTTGTCCTCATTGATTTGACGCATTAATCATTTCGGTTTGATGCCTAACACTATTTCAGGTAATTATAGGGAATAATATAACTCTGGCGTAAAATAAATGAAATTGTTGATGGATTAAATTTGAAATCGGCTTGATAAGTAATAGCCATGGACTTGTGCACTTTTCCGCCCTTCTCACAAATGCCAAACAGAAATATTGTTAAAAAATTTGTTCAAGTGAAATCGATATCGAAACTTCTGACTTTATGTGCCCTGCGATTAACCATCTAACAAGAAACAGACTCAATGGGATCCAATCGATTGTTGCCAACTTTTTTGCATCTCTCATCTTTCCTTATACTTTATGGCATATTTTTTGTTTTCTTCTCAAATTTTTTCTTCCTTTTGCGAAATATGCAAATGAAAGTGCGCCTGCAATGCAGCAAAAACTGAACTGAGCTGAGCTGACAACTGGGAGCTGTTGGCTTTGGTGGCCAGGGGGGTCAAATGGGCGAAGGGCGGTGCAGCTCTGGGGGAGTGGCCGACGTGCTCCCGTTTTGTGACTGCAATGACAACGACCAGGACAACGGGGATGCACTAGTCGTTAAGGAAGAGTGAAAAAAAGAAACGAAGACTTTTGTACTCTTTAAAAATTTTTGGAGAAAAGAAGGATCAGAAATATTACTTCGTTAGGGAGTTATATAGGTTTGAGTAGAGCTGACATTAGATATTAACTTCCATCGTTTATTTTAAGAATAAATTATTAGAAATTGTCATTTTGATTATTACGTCTTTCCTTTTGAAAATCCCAAATAAATGTGTGAGGAAATTTAAAGAAAAAATAAGTATTTTTTAGTTTAGGGCTGTGTACCCCTTCTGAGAGTATCATATTGGGGCTCAAACTGCAACTGAAATAAAGACGGGGACAGGCCTCTAAACTGGACAGAGGGCCGAAAGGACAGACAGGCATTGGAGGAGGCCGAGGAGGTAACCAACTTCCGCCTCTGATTGCAGATTAAGCACGTTCTAGGCGTCTGCCTACGATGAGAAAGGGGTCCACTAGATTGGCGAAGGACGCTGGCGGGAACTGATGCGTATTGATGCTGCTGGCGTCTGCGAAACATGGAAAAAACATTTTTATTTGCTCAAGTCTCCGCATCCGGTCCCCCCGCCTCAAGACCTCAGAAAACCCATGAGTAAGCTCTCCAACCGAGCCGCATCATAATTTCCTTGTCTCCTTTGTGATGTCTGGAAAAATTTGCATTGTAAGTGAAGCCTTGGCCGGGCCGTAAACTCTTGGCTTGGCAGCCTTTCGAATGACAAGCCCCCTTGGTGGACCGTTTTTAGAATGAGTTTTCAATGGAGTCTAATAAAATTAATTGCATTTTGCATTTGCCTGTCGAGTTCTATTTATAGAACAGGGAGGTGGTGTATCCAAGCTGAGCCGAGTTGAGCTCATGTGACAGTCAGATTTTGATTCGAAATTGCAATTGTTCTGCCGAGAATTTTCCGGACCTATTTTTCCTGATGATCAAGGGAGGATTGAAGTGCCGTAGATTGCTGCCCAATGTTTGCATTGTGTAACTAATCCGCTTGAGTGAGCTGCTAGCATTGTTATTTTATTTCCAAATGGGTTTTAGCCTAAATGTGATATTTCTTGTAATTTTATTTATTACTTTTTTGATATGTCATTCTACGTTGAATATTTCTAACGTTGTATGAATTTGATGTATAAATTTTAATATTAAAATCATGACAAGTCAAATGAATTTTGTTCTGAATATATTTTCAACAGTTTTTCGATTTCAATTTAAATTTTCTATAAATTTATTAAACAAACTAGAGTATTGGCTTCACAAGATCTTCTCCCTTGAAAATCGATTATTCACGAACCCTTGTAAAGCTCATTAGTTGCTTATGAAGACCACCCCAAGGGTGGCATTATTTAGATGACTAAGGACTTTGCTCACCCCATCTAAAAGCCATAATGATATGCAAAGCTAAACTTTACTCAGTAAACTTCTGCACTTGACACTCATCCCCGGCCACTTTCGTTTCTCCTCGAACATTGAATTAGATTTCGAGCACAACTAAACCCCAAAAAGAAACTCATTTCGGGCAATGGAGGCGGACAACTTTTGTCTGCGGTTGACATTTGTTGCCCTCGGGCGGCAAATGAAATCATTTAAAAATCAACAATAATTAAGTAGCAAACTTTTGTCTGTGAAGGCAGCTCTGCAATTCGTTTTAAGGTGAACCGAAGGAACTTGCGAAGTTAACCCCTTTCGACCATAACTATGACGTTTACACGACATCAAATGGAAAACTTTCCGGCTCTGTCAGGCGCTCAATTCTTCCTCGGCTTTCTGGCATTGGCTCTTCTTAATTAAGCCCAGGTTAAATGACAAAACTTTCCAATTTCTGGCTTATTAATTAGTTGATGGGAAACAGGGGACTCAACGTACCGGTAGCTTCAATTGCGCACTTGAACTTTGTCGAAATTAACACTATGTTATAAACAAAATAATATAAGAAAAGATATTATTTATAAATTTGTCTTACGTCAGAAATAAGCTGAAAGCATTAAAAATTCTTTAAAGTCACTGGTCGGCAGCCACTCCTTAGGAATTCCCTGTACCCCAAGGATGTTTTTTTTTATAATGGTTCCTTAAAAATTCTCTTGCTTCTTAAGGAAAGAGGAGCACAGAGGAGAAGTTTTCCACTGGCAAAGGTCCTTTGTGCGGTGGAAACCTTTTGGCAACGCACTTTGTTTGTCTTCCGCCAACGAGGCAGCTGTACACAAACTACTGGAAAGTGCAAAATGCTAAATTATACTTAAGCCGCACACATACACATACAACTATATGCTTGTAGATTCCACAAAGTGTCCGCCAAAGCGGAGCCACGCACCGGCCGGAAAAAAACAAACTCAAACGACGCCGCCTCCGCCGCCGCTGCAAAAGCGGAAATGCACTCAAAGGAGCAAAGCCCACGGAGGGAAGTGGCACTGGCACACGACGCCCACTTCCCGCTAGCCCACCATTTGTCCCATCCCTCATAACCCGGCCATCAACATCGTCATCGGGCTTCAATGGCGGCGGTTCTTCTTTTTCTGCCTTTGTGCATTGTGCTCTCTATTTGTTTGTTTGTCGCTACGTTGGCGGACTGGTTGAACGACCACAAAGAAGCAGGAAGTCAAGGAACCGGCAAGGACTCGAATCCTTTAGTTCCCTATACGAAATTTCGGCTTATCAAAAGTTTATTTTTAGTGTAAAGAACATCTTCAAGAATAAATTCATTTTGAGGTTTCAGAGCTATATTTTCTTTTTATTATTGAAAGAAATGCTTGTTTTCTTACTTTTTTCAAATATAAAGTCCGTCATACCCTAAAAATATCAAAACCCCTAAAGACCTCTTCCCTTTTCGGTAATGAAATTCTGCACTTATTTTTAGGCACAGACCGTTTTTGTCTTCCGGCACGACAACAATTGTATTTTTAAAGATTATTGCTTTGTTATTTGTGAACTGAACTTGCCCAAAAATAAACTTAGAAAGCTGTTGACGGACTTAATGAGCAAGTGTGGGATTTCCTTTGAGTTCTATTTCTGATTTGACAGCGATGATATATACCTGTGCCTTCGATTTGATTGGATGCCAAGGAGGCGTTGACACTTGACTGTAATTGTATGAGCTGGGCGGAAAATTATATTAGTGGTTAGGATGACTTAATAAAGGGCTTAGTTTAATTTACCTTTCTGACTTTTGTGAATAGGTTAACCAAAAAGGTTAAAGGTTAGTTTAAGAAGAAACTCTGTTGGTTACTTAATGGTGTGTTTAAATGGCAGGCAAATGTTTTGTGGGATGTCAAATCATACAAGATATGTAATTAATTTTTGTGTTTACAATTTAGTAATGTTATCATTATTTTATATTAAATCTATTTAAAAATTAGCTTTAACATGAAATTCGACCTCCTAATCTGGTTCAGAACTGCACTGCACATATACAATCCTCTGGGAGGGCTTAGACTGCCAGTCCTGTCGCTCCCTCACGGATTGCCCCACTTTCCAACTGCTCATTTCAGCTTTGCAATATTAATTTCATATCTCGATTTGCGTGACCCAAATTGCCCTCCCAGTTGAAAACGGGCCTACTACTACTTTTACACATACATTCAGTTTTCCGTCTTTGTCTCGGGCTGTTAAATAAGTTGGCAACTTTTCATTTCACAGCCAGTAGCATTGTCTCTAGTCCTGAGTTATATCGCTGGGGCCCAAGAGCTTTTCCACTGCCTGGCACCCAGGCAGCATCTTTGCCTGAGAAAAGGATTTTCCAACCAGGACACGTTGCTCAAGTTAGTCGCGTTCACTTTCCCTTCCAGCAGGCTAACCATTGTGTTGGCTAAACAAAAGCGCATTGTTCTAGTCTGCACTGTCGAGGCTCCTTCGATTTCCTTGACTTTTATGCACTTGCTGCAAGTTATTTATGTCCTACCACTGGCATTGAAACCGCGAAACCAGCCCACGACTAAGGACCTATTAAAGTGGCACACATCCTGACAGCCTGAATTTCTAGCGAATAACTATTTGTTTTTAACTTGTTCTTCCAACTGTTGTCTTACAGAATCCGTGGAATGCCTGACAATGACCGAAATCAAAATCCCCAAGCACATTATGCGCCATGAGGATGCCATACTCGGCTGCAAGTTCGATCTAGACGGAGAGTCACTGTACTCAGTGAAGTGGTACAAGGATGGCTTCGAGTTCTATCGCTATGTGCCCAGGGATATGCCCCCGGGTCAGATTTTTCCACTGCCAGGGGTAGATGTAGAGGTAAGATCTGCTATAGTTATAAACTATTTAAGTATTTAAGCCTAATTGGCTGCATAAATTCAACTCTAGAGTGCAGTGGATAAGGAACTCATTAAGCCCTTTTTACTCTAATTATAACTGACTTGAATTGACATGCCTTAATATGCCATTTCTGGTGTAACAATTCCATTAGCTCACGTCAGAATTGTTAATTTGTTTTTTAAAATGTTTTCCTTTCAGAAAATTAAAACAATCAATAAAACCTTTTTATTTTATGTTTTAACCCTAAATATAGGAATGTTTTTAATTCAGTTCCTCAATTCAACACAGGACAACATATTTTTAACAAGTTGAATAATTTCCCTTTGAAGTTAAGATCAAAGTCTGGAACGTCAAAAATTTTATTTTTTCGATAAATTCATTTTTGTTTTTTAAATAAAATTAAAGATGAGTAATAGAAAGTCAAAATTGGTACAATCGCTGGAGGAGTCTGTGTCCCCTATCCATCATGAGGATGTCGTTCGCTTCATTGCCGAACAGGTCCGTCAGCCAATGATCAGTCCAATTGAACTGAATCTGGATTATAAACAGGATCTGAGCATTCTCCACCTTGAGGATGCCTTTAAGTTTAGGGATTCCATGAAGAACTTTCATATATCGCCTACTGCTGAGTCCCTAGATGAAGTAATGCCAGTAAAGGATGAAGATCTTGGTGACATGCTGGAAGCTCTAACCGATGTTCTTCTCGAGGACGATGACGAGGGCGAAGATGAAGAGGAGGATGACGACGACGAGGAAGATAATGAAGATGCTGAAGATGGCGATAGGAAGACTAGTGCCAGTTCAGGCAATGATCAGATCATATACGATAACAATCTTGGATTCTATTAATTTAATTTAATTTAAAACAAACGTAAAATATGTACTACAATTGGATAATTTAAATTTATAACTGATTTGATTTGAATACATTAAATTTTGGCCAACCTCGAAAGGGTCTGTTGACCTCGAAATTCCATTGCAATTAACTTTCTTATTTTTTATTAATGCAATATCTGACCTTAAAAAAATCTCTTCAACAAAATGTATTGATAATTTGGTAGCTCGTATAAAATGTATGTGTAACAATGACTGCATTCTTTTAGCAAACTTTCACTTTAGTCTATGCTTTGACCCGATTTTCCTTGCGTTTTTCTTGCAGTTACAAAACTCGACGGACGTGGTCGTCGTCCTGCGCTCAGTTAGCCTTCAGTCAACTGGCCGATATCGCTGCGAAGTGTCCGGCGAGGCGCCTTCGTTTCAGACGGTTTCCGGTCACGAGGACATGATTGTTGTGGGTAAGTGAAAGTGGCCAGCAAAAAGCATGCAGTCTAACATGCTAGCCAACACACAGGGTAAAAAAGAGACGACTCCATATGGCGGAAAAGAGATAGATGGATTTATTTGGGGGAAAAATAGAAAGAGACAGCGAAAACTTGTCGGAAGAAAGGAGGCAAGATTAATTGCAGCAAGCGAACTAAGCGACGAAAAGTAATCTTTTACAGTGCATCTCTTTCTATGCTGTTACCCTCTCTTTCACTCTCCCATCACCCTGTCTCCTTTTGGCACACTACGAAAATGTATAAAATATTTCACATTTATTTAGTTTATGCCCGGCATTGTTTCTCGCTGCGATTTACAAATTCTCGAGGAGAAAACCTGTGCCAAAAAAGCCAGCGGGCCCAGAGCATAACAGATAGAGATGGTGTGGGAAAGAGAAAGGGAAAGATTTCGGCCATCCTTTTTTCCTGGCCAACATAGACTTTCAATGTGTGTGTGTTTGAGTTCTTTGTATTGTATTCCACTGGCAAATTGCCCATGTACGTGATGCAATTCTGTTGCTCACTTACAGCTCGGGATTTTTCCACAGCACCAGACTCGTTCATCCTCTTTCTCTCTTTTCCTCACCATTTCCCCTCTCTTTCGGTCGGTCTGCAACTTAATTTGAAATTTTTGCGCAATCCAACAAAACATGGCGCAAAAATATGGCCAAACGCAATATGAAAAACTGGTGCGGAGGAAAACTTAGAATAAACGTGTTTAATAACAGTGGAAAACGAGCTCAAAGTTTACTGAGGATAAGATACAAATTCTCAGTTTCATCAGACACTTTAAGATAACCCTAAAGGGGATATCTGAAAGAGAGAGTTACTTTTTCAAGTACTTTAACATGATTCTCCAAAAACAACATCGATGGCTATGAGCATCTACACGCAAAGAGGATAAAATGCTTTCAATATCTGTGACCCAAATATCCCGCTGGTAAACCCCATTATGATGATGATGTTTATCAACAACAATAGTCGGCACAATTGTTTGAGCCAGGTAAATTTCACCTTCATTTCCGTCCACTGAAATGTTGAGAGAGTTCCGGAGAGAGGCAATCAAAATTGGTATATCGCATAATTAGGCTAACTAAATATTTCCTCGACTGAGGGGCTGGGTAGGGGGTATAAGTCCACCAATCAGAGTTTCCGTTTTCAGCTGGAAATTACTCAATTACGCTTAGACTTTAATGCAGAAAAATCGGAAGAGGATGGGTCGATGTCGATGGGTTTGGCGAGGAAAATCCGTCTTCAGTTTAGATGTAAGCGGATTAAATCAGAGGCATAATGACTTCGCCGATTTGCGGATCAATAAACCTAATGAATTTCTGTGCCGGAAAAATGAAAAAACTTGGTGCCATCAAAGGGCAAACGGAAAAAGGAAGCCAGAAAAGGGATGAGCAAAAAACACACAGATATATAGAAGAATTAGTTATGTGGTGAATTTAAGTTGTTGGCTGTAAATCTTATTTAATTGGCGAAATACCTAACTGAAAGTATTAGGGTATAGAATCGTTTTTCAGTCCAACATAATACAATAGAACTATCAGCGTAATATTTTACCTACTATGTCCAAATGTGTTTGAGCCATTTCCCTAGATTAGACTGTCGAGTCAACACATGCGATAATTACAGTGTATACGCGGAAATTGAAAATGTGGGACTTCCACTGGTGGCAGCGCGCGGAAAATGGGCGGAAAATGCTGTTTTACCGGTGCAGTTGCATATGATGGCCTCATCCGGTTGGGCAAATTGGTTAAACGTAAGCTCTGCGAGCATAAAGTTGAACATGTGGGATTAATGTTTCTTTAAACTGAGATAAACAATAGGAATAAAATTATTTTGAAAATGTAGAATTATTCAAATTAAATGAACTATTATTTCAGAAAGATTTAAGTTATCCAAAATTATAATTTACTGCTACTTAATTTTTAAAGCCTAAAATCTTTATCAATTATTAAAGCAACCTATTCCAACAAAGAAATTCTTAGGATTAACTTAACTCTATGCGCTGTAAAAACGGTAGAAAAGTTTGGCAACTCGTTTCTTTTCAATCAATTGCGCTCCTTTGACCCTTTTTGCCCGAGTGTGCGTGGGCCAAAAAGCTATTAAGGTGAAAAATTGTTAGTTTATTTAGGCATCCGATTTACTTAGATATTTGTTTCAGTTGCTCAATTGAATCCATTGTTCACCCAAGCCCGGCACAAAAGAAGAAACCGAGGGCACGGCCCACGCAAAACAAACTGGATCCATGTTGATCCCTTGTCTGAAGGCCCTCGGAGCCAAACAAAGCCGAACAATGGCCGCTAAAGAATAAAAATGCCCAGCAATTATTACCAATTGATACTGAGGCAGAGCACAACAGGGAATGTAAGCCCCATCGTTTCTAAGCCCCAAGCAACAAGGGAAAATATGTTGAACATTTTGGCAAATATTAAAGGCAGAAAATCGTAAAAGGAGTGCCACAAAATATCAACAGCTTAATCAATGTCAGAAGAGCGTAAAAATAGTCACTGGAAATAATAATTTATGCAGTTCAGTTCGGTTAAGCCGAACAATAAGGAAGTGTAAAAGAAGAAAAGGAGGAAAAAAGGAAGGACAAAGAAAAATGTCTTGAAGGGAAAATGAATTTCTCTGGCCTTATTTTTGACACTCTTATAAATAACGTCACCTGAAAATAAAGTTTCTCTTCTTATTAAAGACCCAACAAGTTCATTAAGAAATAATTTAAATTACAAATCGTTAAGGATTTGTTATTAGATAGTTAGTAGTTTATAAAATATTAAAAAGGTCATTTGAATAAAATTTACTTTTTTAACGAAACTATCTCTTTCAAAGAATCATTAAAAATTTCCTAACAGTGCACTATTCAAAAATTTTCTCTTTCATCTTTGCTTCCTATTTGGCAAAGTCCTGGTGCAATTATTACCATTATTAAGAAGCGGATGAAAAAGTGTGGAAGAAATATTCTTTTGTGCGATAAACGTTGAAGTTTCCTTTCATTTTCCTAAACTTTTCATCAGTGCGAAACTATCGATTATGTTTAATTGAAGTTTCGCTTTAGTTTTGTTCGATTTTCACAGTTTTTGACCCATTTGGCAAGCAGCCAGGTCAACCGGCAGACATGGCTCTGCTTTCCAGCCCCTCTATACCGTCGATTTGGTCCTCCATCGTCATCCAGCAGCTGGACGTCATGGCCAAAACGCACACAAGTACACACACACAGTGACCCACAAAAGGCATGCAACAACAGCAACGAGAAACAAATCAAATGCTACAACGTGCAAAAATTGCGCACCGAGGAGATGCTTTCGACATTTTCGTATATTTATTATTTTCTATTTTAGTTGAGCTTAAACAAAATTTGCATGTATTCTTTGTTGCGGATGGGAATCGATTTAATTGCCCATCTGATGGCTAATAAAAATTATTTGGCATTGCCTAATGGCTGGGGGAAAGAATTTGGCTGAACACTAAAACCAAATTAACCATCAATCTTGTTTGGCAAAAAACAACTTCATTTCGAATATATAGAATTGAAATGTTTCTTTTTTTTTTTGGTTTTATATACAAATGAAATTAGCAATGGCAGTATTTTATATCATTATATTTTTATTCATCTTTGTTTTGATTGAATAGACGCGAATGATACTGTGTTTTCCAAAGCAAATAAAATGTTATTGGGGTCTACTAGGATGAAAAAGTGTTGCATCTGATTTGAAATTAATGAATCCAAAAGTAAAACGAAGCCGCTTTGCCATAAACCGATACCAAATTAGCTCCTCTATTTAGCAACAGCCACCTAATCCGGAAAGCCAATGTTACCTTTCTAATCTGAAACCATTCCCACCTTCACAATTGCAGTGACTCCAAAGCACGGACCACAAATCACGGGGGGACAGCCGCGGTATCAAATTGGCGACATGGTGCGCGTCAACTGCACCTCGGCGGCTTCCAGGCCGGTGTGCCATCTCAGCTGGCTGATTAACGGGATGCACGCCAACCGCTCGCTGCTGCGACCCTACGAACCCTTGATTGTGGGCCGGGAAGGACTAGAGGTCGCTCGATTGGGCCTGGAGTTTCGAGTGCGAGGATGACATTTCAAGCACGGCGACATGAAGCTAAAGGTGAGTGCCCATAGAATAAACATTATTTAATTCAGAACAAAACGAACAAACACATTTTTTTAAAATTATTTTAAGTTAAAGAATGTTGTAGCCTATCATGGCTAAAAATAGTTTGTGCTTTACTTTAAATACACTCCATTTAGCGGAGAACTTTTTTCCCTTTAAGGATTTGCAATAATCTGATTATGGGTACCCGGACAGGCCATGAAAATTGATACATTCACTCATCCGATTTCCCATCTCATACATATTTGCCAGAGCACTGTTGCTCCGATTCAATTTGCGACAACATAACATGGCAGCTCATGTTGATTATTATCCATTCGGACCCAGTTGGCCGGCAACTCACCCACCGGCCATTCCACCGAGGCCCCAAACCATCCAACCACCTCACCACCCCTACTACTGCGAGTGCAAATGTATGTTGAACAAGCCACAAAATATCATGCGAACGCGGGCGGCAGACGAAGTACTCTTATGACATGTCCAGTATGAACAGTGGGTTCAAATATATTTAAATATTGTTTAAATTAGATGAAGTTTCTTGAAACAAAGTTTCCTGTTATAAAGATATTTAAAAGTTTGCTATTAAGTATATAATTTTTAAAGGTAAACTATTTTTATTTGAATTTTTGACCACTGTCTCGGTCAGTGTCCGTTTGCATATATGGTGATGCCCGGTGTGCTGGTGTGCATATTTGTGTGGGTACTGCGGATATGTATGCGGGTCATTTTCGGGTTATTTGGGCGCATACGGGGGAGTTAATGAAAGCATAAAACTTTTACTACACCGTCAAGAGGATGGCCAATCCGCCGTTGTACCCATTTCCCACAGTCCCCAACACATTTATCAATGTACACAGATTTGATGAAAGTTTTCCTTGCTCGTTCTTGCATTTCCCGGCCATAATCCGACTGCAGTGTGTCGCCAAAATCTCCTCCGTTTACTGGCAGAGCAACGAGGAAAGCGTGGAGAGTGACAAGCACCAGAGAATTCCGGTGCTGGAGTCGCGGGAGACGGTCATGTCCAAATCCCGCCAGTCCATGGACAAGGCTCAGTCCCCGCTCGAAGGTAAGTGATCATCAATCATCCGGCGGTTAGTTGGTCAACAAAGCTGAGCACTCGGAAAAATGTATATTGCATTCCAAAATAAACTAATAAACTAATAATCTGAATCTGAAAATGAGTAAAAAAAAAGAGTTCACATGTGATTCAAGAAATCAAAGATTTAACATTTATTTTGAAATAAATATTAATATTATCAAGATAATTAGGTTTGAGGTAACTTACGTATCTTTTTTCCGAGTGTATCAGCAACAGTTGCTTCCACTAAACGATTTCCAACCATCCGCTCTCCTCTCGATTTCCAAAATCTCCGACTGACCCCTGACCCGTTTTGAATCCACATCCGCAAACTAGACAAACAACTGAAGAAGAGCCGACGCCCTGCAGCGGCAACTTCAGCGGCCGCAGCGGCAGCAGCTGCCTCGTCCAGTGCAGCAACAGCAACTATGGCTCCATTTGGGGCGATCTGGGGCTCATCGGTGCCCTGGTCACGCATATTAGCTTCCAAATCAATTGCACGCATTTCCCTGTACGCGCTGCCAGTCTTAATAGCATTTCTGTGTAGCTTTCGACCGGCAGTCGAGGGATGCTGCTGTCAGGGAAGCAATGGCAACAGCAACATCAACAGGAGCAACATAAGCAGCAGCAGCAACAGCAGCTACATCAACAGGAGCCGCCTGTCGAGCCAATTAAGCTGCGAGAAGGCTTCTCAGCGTAGATAACAATTAACCAGAAAGCAAATGAACAGTGGAGGCATCAAAATAGGCAGCGACATGGCCTAAAATTCCATTTAGTTCTTTGTAAATACTTCAAGTTTTTCTCACATCAAGTATACGCCGCGTGTGCGGCTCGCTTAAATAGTGTATGTACATATATTAACTGTATTTATATATAAAATTATACACATTTATTAGTGAAGCATTGAAATGTGGTTGTTCCTCTTTGGGCTTATTTTGCTTGTCGGTCTTAGGGAAAATGCTCAAAGTTGTTGGCTATGAATTTGCTTTAGAAATACAAAAGCGATCTAAGATTTTCAATGCTACGCATAACTGTAAAAACAAATAAACTGAAATAAGTAGCCAAAACACTTAAAATTAAGGATCTAATCTAAGGCTCTTAAGCTACTCAAATTTTAAGATACAAAATATAAACGTTGAATACATAGAGAACATAAAAAATAGAAAATCGATTTAGGTACTTGATTTTAATTAAAGCTTAGGAAGTAATCTAGCCAACAACATTCTAGAATATATATTGTAATCGGTAAAAGTTAAATCCACATTTTACTTTGTTACTAAAAAACCATGTAAGATTATTTTTTTATTTTATTTATTTTCTTTTATAAATCCTTATTTTTTAAATAAATAAACGCATCTATTCCCATTTGTGAATGCGTAAAATTTATTTTTATTGGAATATTAAAAAGTCACACCTCATACACATACATTGAAATGATTTTACTGCACTTAAATGTATGTCGCACACCTTAGAACATATCCCTGCTGAGGAAATCTTTGACTCTCTCTTGTAAAATGAACAAATTGTTAAATGTTACCTAGACTAAGGCCATAACTAGCGAAATCATATCCAACCATAGAAAACTTAAGCCAAAAAACCTGTGTAGCAGTGTAAAATATATGCAAATAATGAATGTTATTAAGTCTTTAAAGGAATAAAGAATGCAAAACAAAAAAAAAAAAGAAATTGGAGTGCATGATTGTTGTTGGCACTGCCCCAAGGAAGTGACTGCCAACATATTTTCAGGGCCTCTGCTCTATCTTCTTAAATACCCTGTACTGGTCAAGGGTATGAAGTATATAACGTTTAGTAAGTATAAAATGGTAAGAACTTGAATTTAACATATGGTATTATATGGGTAATGAAATCTTATAAATATATAAATATTTATTTTTGTCTTTAATTAGTCGTTTATTAATATATAAAAATATATAAAAAAATAATTTAAAGGGTTACTAAATTATATATTTTGGCTGACAGGGTATATTTCATACTCAATCCATTCGGATTATTTTTTCTTGAAAATTTTCCATGCCTCTGCCCCTTGTCATCGCCTTCATTGTCAGCGCTCTTGACCTGGAACAGAAAACTGAGAACGGGGAACAGATTCGTGCCGGCAATTGTCCTTGCCAGGCATTCTTTTCGCTGTTATACTTTTTTATTGTTGCTGGCAGTGTCATAATATCTCGCCTTGGCGCTGCGATGGCATTCATGTCGTTGCTTCATTTTATTGTTATTATATTTACTTGTCGGATTTGCTGTATGTGTACTCTGGCCACCACCGCCCCCAATGGCCCCACCGTCTGCTATAGATTTTGTTCATATTTTCCAAATGGGCGGCATTGGGAGCGGTGGAAACCTCCTTGACTTGGCGATGCGTGTGCCATGCACTTAAACATTTGATTACGTGTCATATATCAACACATTGTACGATTGAATTTTCGCTACGCATGCGGCGGTCCCTCCATTTCAAGTCGTGATTGGGTGCTATAAAGAGACGGATTCAGGGCTACGAACCTCAGTTCAGTCGATGCCTGAGTACATGCAGTTAAGAACATTCGTATCGCTAACCATAAATGTGAGCAGCTCATATTGTGTTCTTGCTTATCCAGACTGCTTTCTTAACGGCGGGTTAATGACTTGGGAATACTCCAGGCGGGTTCAACGAGTAAAGGATGTTTATTTTGATAAGTTCCAAGGATTTTAAGACTATTTATGAGGGAAAATTAGTCATTGGGCTGAGATTAGGTTGATACATATATTTATTATTATGAAAATAATGTTTATATAAAGTGTAAACAATTTAAATAAACTAAATTTGTTATATATTGTACATTAATCGTAATTTACGTTTTTTCTAAGAAAATATGTTATTTTTCATAGATTTATTATATTATTTTCCTCCTTATCGTAATATTATTATTGACCCTGTCCTTTTTAATTAAATGGATCCCTTTACTCAAAACAACCCACGACCTATCTGATTTAGCTGTCATCCATTGATTTTCATGGGCTTTATAGAAACCTTCTCGTGGCTAACTTTTTCCCTCCCGTTTAAAGGGCATTTTTCAATTACAAAGCTGGAAAAGGGTTTCGTTGGGTCTACCAATTTACTGAGATCTCCAGTACTTTTTCGCTTTTTTCTCCCTTTTTTTTTTTGCTTTTGCTTGTGCTTATTTGCTTAATTTCACAGCACAAAAAGCAATGGAAAGGGACGAGGCGAAGCGAGAGAGACTGGGAGATATATAGCGCACACACAGTGACATTTAGTCGGAGGCCTTTCAGGGCCTGGGCTGTTGCTTTTTATATTTATCACAGCCACTTGCATTGCATTTTGTTTATATGCTTTTAATGCAATTAGCACGCTTTTCACTTTGATTTACGCCCGGACGGAGACTCAGAATCCGGATCGGAGGCGCGAGTGAGACGGGGCGACGGTGCCCCGACAAAGGGGACAGGGACAGAGTCACTGAGTGCCGGAGTGAGTGACAGAGACAAACAGAAATCAGACAGAGCCCACACACACTCTCTCATACGATGAGATGCAGTGAATTTTCCCCTCTCGTGTGTCACCCTATTTATGAGTGAGCCGCTTTCATCTTTTGTGCTGCCCATTTTAGTATTTGTTTTTCGCAGTCGCATTCTCAATGCGTTAACTCCTTTCAACCAGACTGAATTCCTCATTACCCTGTTAGTCCTATTTGTTGTTCCTTTTTGCAAGCCAAGCCCTTCACCGTCAAACAATCGCTGAGGGTTACATTTTCTACAACTTTGGAGGTTCCACATTTCCAAAATATATTCTGCTCTTTAATATTTATAATTACAATATATAAATAGGAATAGGAATGGGTTTCAGTCCATGCTTATACTATATTTAAATTAGTTGAAAATGGATTTTTCGTTTAATATATGATAACTATTAAGACTAATCTTTCTCTGCAGAAAATCTGTAGAAATATTTACAAATTTGCAACTTTCAAACTGGGAACATTTTCTCCCACTGTTGGCAGTAATTCTCCTATTTTGAGCTTCTATTATCCCTCGACTGCAACTGCTTATGCATTTTCATTAGTGTCTCGTCTCTGTCAACGTCATTGCCATCAGTCGAGTGCTTTGACCCGCTCCACCACCGACTTTTCCACGCCCCTCCTCCTATCGCGTTCAGTCCTAATGCATATTGTTTGTGTCCTCGAGCGTACTTTGCTGGCTCGTTTGCTGTTGTTTTTGCCTTTCTTGCCGCTGATGGGCGCAATTTTAATTACGATTTGCTCACTTACATTTCATTCAGCTGCTAATACATGGCCCGCAGCTTCTCCGATTGATTGACTGAGCGAAAGAGCGACTGAATCGCTGACTGACTGCCTGCTGATTACACTTCAATCAGCCGAAGCGCGTAAATATCAATCAGGACCCGCGGGTGTGGGTGATTGTGAAGGCTTAAGATGGCAGCGCGGGTTAAGTCAAGCAATGCCGTTAGCAAAACTCATTTAAAACTAATCAACAAGTAGCAAGAAAATTACGAGAAGACCAAGTCAATGGGAATTGAATTTAACTGACGAACCAAATAATTAGTGGAAAAAGAAAAACTAATTTTCATGGTAAGAAATTAATTATATATTCCTTTTAATAAACCATAAAACAAGTTACAAAATTCCTAATAAATAAATTCTTATTAATAATTAAATATTTTGAAAAATTCGGAAATTTTCATTTAGTCATTAGCTTGTTTAGATATGTTACACTCATTTAATATTAAATATTTTATATAGGACAACTCCTTTTAATAACGATTTTTTTGATTCCCATATAGACATGCAATCAAACTGCCCTAAGCTCATCTTACCAGTAGTTTAAAATCTAATCCAATTCCTTAAAAGCTCTCAATTCCTTCCCCACAAATTCTGGGCCAAGTTAAGCGCTTAACAACTTGTCCGAGAGCCCACAAGATCCCTAAGCAATCAGTGGGTGCCCAGCTCCCAGCTGCCTTATCCTTTATCGTATCCAGTTCCAAGTCATCGGACCTGAGTCTTTAGTCCTAAGTCCTCGCACCACCCATTCATAGATAATTCCAATTGAATGCAATCGCAGGCAGAGGCAGGACATGCAACAATTACATGGAATGCCTTGAAGTCAGCTTGTAGTTCCAGTTTGCCACTTGCAGTAGGGCTTTTTGTTAATTTTTTAATACCTCTGTCTCCGGTCCCTGGCTTGGATTGGTCTGGATTGCCTCGTACATTGTACAGAGCAATTTCCATTAATTTTGTGTGCAGCTCCAGTGAAACGTAAATGAACAAAGGATCTTGCCTTCAGGTGAAATCCCCATCAGGATGCCTGAGCGAGAGACGGCACTCGCCGAGAAATGTTTGCCATTGATAAAATTCACTAAGCTCTCGCTTCCAAGTAGCAGGATATCCCAAGTTCCAACTAAACCCAAGACAAAAGGCAAAATCAAACGGGGTGAAAAGGAGGGGAGACCATCAGCGGCATCGGGTGTTGATTGTGCTAAATAACTGCACAACAATGGCCTAAGTACGTTGATAGAAAAGTAATGAAAAGCCAGTGGCAATCGAAAGGGGAAGTACACAGTGAAAAATACCAGAGGGAGGAGTGCCTCCGGTTGATTGGTTGCCCAACAAAGGCTAATTCGCTGGCTGGCCCCGGCACTAGCAATAATTGGTAAAAGTCAGGGCTTCAGCAGGCCAACAGCACCACTGCCAACAACAACGGCGTCTACAAAACAAGAAGCGAAATCAAAACGGCGAAATGTTTTCAGTTACTCGAACTTGGAATACTCTTTCTTTTAATTACAAATTTAATATTGAAGTATTACTAATTTTCATTAATGATATTTTCCAAAAATATGACATATAAATATCAAAACAGTTCTAAGAAGTAGCCAAGAAATATTTTTAAATAAATTTACCTACTTAAAGCTTTTAAAAAGAGAAAAGAAATACTTTCAAAAATGTTGTATTCAATGTTTTATATTATATTTAATATCCATCTAAATAGCAAACTACAAGCACTTTCCTGATATCTTAGTACAGTGAAGAGCATTGGAAGAATGATAGAAGAAAGTTCCCGTGAACAACATGAAGAAAATCGAAAAACAAAAGACGAAAATTGTGTAAAGTGGTTTTATAGGGCAACAAAATAGAAAAATAGGATTTACCACACACATAGCCATACACAAAAGAAACAGGATAGCTGGACTGGGACTGGGATTGGGATTTGGATTGGAACGCCTTAAGGTTAAAGTAAAGATTGCAGCAGCGGCTCAAATGGATTTACGTGTTGCGAATTTTAATTAAACGATAAAAAAGCTAAGAAAAAAAATTACGAACTGCACAGACGTAGACACATCTCTCTGGCCAGGCCAGGAAAATAGATGACCAGGCCAGCATGGGAACAGTATACTCGTAGAATACGCCACAGGCCAGCAGAGAGCGCACTGCGTGTGCTTAGTAAAAATTTATGGGCCTAGTATGGCAGATGGAATAGCAGAGGGGCAGCCAAGTAGCGGCATCATTTGGCCATTGTAAGGGGTCCTATTTTTTACACCCTTCTTAAGGGTATACTTTTATACCAAGGAAATGTGATGAAGACATGATAAAGAAAGTTCCTAAAGTGTAATCCAATATATGGTCCAATTTATTGTAAATATAGTTTTTAAGCTTGTTATAAAAGAAAACTGTT